GGAAATGAGGGTCTCTGAACAGTGTCACCTTCTGGAGGTGAAGCCTTCATCATAGGTGTGCCTCATATGGAACCTAGTCTCTGACCACAAGCACTTGAGGAGTTCTTTCTCTGCCTGTGGGCTTTGTAGCGCTGCACAGATTCCTTGAGCTTACAGAGCACTTAGTGCTATTCAGGGTACCTCATTTTAAGGTCTAGAAAGCATGCCACATGAGGAATGGGTGAGAAGCCAGGGATGCTTACTGTGGCAGTTTTCAAATATATAACTTATTTGAATAAGTGCCTGTTGAAACATCAATAAACCAATTCTAGACCACAGGGAAGAATTGAAATCATTAATAAAATTACAAGGGAGAATTTTGTTAAATTAAAACCTCTCCAATGGGGCCAGCCCATCAAGTATGGGTTCCCCATCCTAGGATATGTGTGAAGGGAGGCTCAAAGACCCTTGTCTTATTTTGTAGATGGGTAGCAGTTAGACCAGCTGTTCTGTGATGATTACTCCAACTGATTCTTTGAATCTCCAGTGCCTTAGTATAGATCTATCGCAAACTAATCAGAAAGTGCCACTTGTCGCAGACTACAGCCTCCTGGAACTTTTCTGTGAGATATTAAAGGTAATCTGAGAAAGCATGTTTCCAGGTCAAAGGTGTTTGGGAATACTGGGTGAAACAAAGTTAAACTTTTGTTGTTTCTTCCTCTTTCTTGTTCCTTTTCCCCTTCAGAGCAGTACCTGTTCCATCTTTAACATACTGAACGGCACAACAGGACTGTTCAAGAAGAGGATCATGGCACACAGTATTTCTAACCTCATCTGGCCATAGAACACAGTGTTCATAATTCACTATTCAAATCTCATGGAACACGAGTGTTCAACAGAATCATCTGAGAAATGACATGAAATCTTTGCCTCTTAATTTTCTAGGGGTTTAGTAAACTGACTAACCGATTCCATTACTTAATAGAGACATAATACTATTAATTATCATTTTAATCTTTTTTACCGCTTGCTTTTATATATATTAAGGACGATAATGGGAGCTTACATCATTTTGTATTAGCTAATTTGTTAACTGAAAATTCCTGTTTGGGAGTGAAATAAATTTTGAACCCAAGACATTTGGGAGTACACTAAGGATTATGACTACTACAACATGGATAACCATGCTAATTTCTTAAAAATAGAGATTCAAACAATGAAGGAAATTTTTTTACCTTTCATGCTCGACTTTGATTCTTCCATCGTCCTATAAAAGTGATAAAGGTTAAAGCTCACTTTAGTATTAGCAACGATCATAACAACTTCTCAGGATGGACTAACTTCCTTTGCTTGCTTGTAAATCCTCAACTCTTTAATGAGGATAATTGTCTAAGCTTAGTAGTCTCACGGTCATAGGTTCATGGGAGAGCCGGACAGGATGCAGAAGCCATTGGGTACTGCCTCCTGCTAACCCTGGAGTCAGGGGAAGTCCACAAACCATAGCCTCTTTTCAGCCAGCTGCAAGCTTGGTTTCCTCTAGGATGCCTGCCAGGGTCAGGTCTCAAGCCTGAGACCCCTCAGCTTCTCAGGCTGTTCAGAATTTGGTCCGGCGATGTTTTATTTATGTATTTTTATAAAACTTCTATCCCTTCCTTTCAGGTCATAGAATATACATGTCCTTTACATGGCCAGCTGTTGTTATTTCCTGGGGTGGCCAGAAATATCAGATTGAAAGTCTAGACATCTGTATCTCTTATGCATCTTTTTTTTTTTTGGCTAGTGGACTAACACATTCCCCCTGCCTTCTTTTTTTTGGAGCCAAAATTGGGTGCATTCCTACTGGGAAACACGATGGCCAAAACCTTTTGAATTGTTTCCTTCTAGAGACCTTAACTCTTCTGACTGCAAATCTTAGTGTCCTGTGAGTATTAGTTGATTAATTACACTTGCTGCTTAGTGAAATCCAACTGACTATAGGTATCTTCTGGAGAAGCTCAACACAACTTTTCTTTTTCTAGAGTGACTCTTGCTAACAGAACCCAAAGATGCACACATATACCCACAGGAGCTGGATGCCTCTTGCATGCTCCTGTCATGCCAGCCTTTGCCTTACCCTTCGCTCTCTCCCTCCAGGAGCCGTCGGTACGTGGTGATTTCCTTCTCCAGGTGGGTTTTGATGCCCAGCAGCACTTGGTATTCATTGTTCTGCCGCTCCAGGTCGTGGCGTAGCTGCATCAGTTCCTCCTCGTAGTGGGAGATGATCTCTTGCATGTCCTGGAGCTTGGAGGAGTACCGAGACTGGGTCTCAGATAACATGTTTTCCAAAGCAGATTTCTGAAAGAGGAAATGATCTTGTGTTAATTAACTGATGGCTTGATTGAGTCAATAACAGGTGACTGTTGAGTACTTAGCAGATGCTGACCAGTTGGCTAGGTGTCTTGGTAGCTGCTGAGGATACCAAGGTGAGAAGTAGGCTGACTTATAGGTTTGGGACTTGGGCAGTCAGGAGTTGAGTGATGCTGGGACTTCTGAAGTCCATTGCTTTGCTGTGAACTGTTCTTTAACTCCTTACATTTTATCTTTGACCAGATTGAAAACTCCCAAAGAGCGACAGCAACTGGGACTGCTATCTCTTTGTATCTTCGGAGAAGGGTCTCAATTAGGGATGCCAGATAAAATAGAGAACGTCTAGTTAAATTTGAATTTCAGATGAGCAATGAGTAATTTTTTAGTGTAACTATGTCCAAAATATTGCTCCACCTGCATATACTAAAAAAAAAAATTGTTTTTTTATTTGAAATTCCAACTAAACTGAGTGTCCTATATTTTAATTTGGTAAATCTGGCATCCCTAGTCTCAAGCAATGCTTTTTGATTATGATGATGGTAAAAAAGAAATGTCATTTTTTGAGGAAATTCTAACAGCTGCCAAATGAAGTTTCTGAACTAGAATATGGAGCACTGAGTTCAAGGCCCAGTTCTGTTTGCATGTAACACCTGCTTTTCTGAAGTGCATAATTTTAACCTTAAAGAGAATCTCATAACTGTGCTGAATACTCTCCCTTTATCGTGGCTGCTAATTTTCAGGGGGGCCGTTCATGCTCCCTGGTGGTTAGAGCACATTTCCCTGGTCGGCCACTCTCCTACTCTCCCAGGGGGTTATTTTGTTCCCTCTCCTCTGGCCTTCCCATCCTTCCTCTAAATCCATGGCCTTGCTTCCTAATTTCATTGATGAAACGAAAGCAATCGGGAGAGACCGCCCACTGCTCCCGCCATTGCTCCCACGCACATGCTTGAATCTGCGTGCGGGTGCTGGCTTCCTTGTGTTCTTTTGCCTGAGCTGTCTGTGCTCCAGTCATCTCGGCAGTTGCCGGCCTCCTTGCATCATCAGTGTTCTCCTCTCTACTGGATTATTCCCACCAGCTTTCAAATAGAATAATTCCTCCTACCTTAAAATGTATCTTTCTTAAACCCATATCTGCCTTCAGCTATCGTCCAATTTCTCTGCTCTCCTTCAGCTACAGCAAAGCTCCTCAAAGAGTGGTCTGTACCTGCTGTTCCTCTTGAACGCCCTCCAAGGTAGCCTACAAAGTCCTGCACAGTCTGGCTCTGTTGGGACCCCACGGCCTCACCCTCTCTTGCTCCCTCTTCCCCTCCTCTTCTGTCCTTTCTTCTTCCCGTCGTTCATTCACTGCAGCCACATGGACTTCCCTGCTGCTTCTCCAACTCATCAGACACACTTGGGCCTTGTCGCTTTTGCACTTGCTGTTCCTTCCTCCTGGAACACATCCCATCACCACATCAAGCACCTCCTCACCTCTTTGCTCACTGCCACTCTAACAGGAAAACCTTTCCTGACCGCCTTGTTTAAGATAGCAGCTTTTCACCCTGGTGCGTCTGCCCTCCTCCTCTGCTTCATCTCTGTAGCAATTTTCTCCATCTAACATATGCATTTTGATGATTTGCACATTTAGTATCTGTCACTTCTACTAGAATATAAACTCCTTCGTTAAAAGATCCTCAGTGCTAAGAATTGGTGTCAGATAGTAGAATGCATGAAAATGGGTATACATGCCTCGTCTGTTTCACAGGGCCATTGTGAAATACTGTATGTTAAAATGTTTTGAAAGCTGCAAGACACTATAATTATTTTTGTACTCATGATCTCTACAGTGCACATTTGCAGTGTCTGTTCACCATCACGGATGCATAAAACACAGCGGTCATTTACCCAAGTGCACCTGCCACGTAAATGAACAAATCATTGCTTCTCAAGACTGAGGGTAGAATCGCACTTGGCAGTTATAAGGATGAATGATTAGAAGACTCAGTAGGGTATACTGGGAATCAAATGATAGACCTTCATACATTTTGAATGCTTATGACACATGCTAAGCATTTTTCTAAACTGTGAAGATGATAGAAATGACTTGGACACAAGAACTTAAGAGTTTTCTGGGTGATAAGACACATACCTAAATGAATAGGGCAGTGCTTTGGAGTGAGCCAGGCCTGGATCTGCCACCTACCATGTTGGCACTGGAATTTCTCTATATCAGGGTTTGAGGGGGGTAGCCTGGTTGTAAGTGGAGAGGGCACTGATAGAAATTATGAGGGTCTAGAATCCCCCCTCCTCCAAGTAAATCACATGGTTTCACCACCAGTCACTTACTAGCTGTGTGACCTTGGCCAATTTATTTTACTGTTGGAGTTTTGGTTTCCTCATCTCTAAAATGGGGACACTAAGACCTATCTGGAAAAGTTGCTGTAAGGATTAATGACATTTAATATCATGAACTACTTAGCACAACGCCTGGCACCATCTGGACACTCAATACATGGTAGCCCTTTATTATGTTTCTCATCATAAACAATTTGGATGGAAAGTGGAAAGTGAGAGGTGTCCCAAGGGAGCTGAGGGTCAGGGCCTGGGAGAGAGGTCTCAGAAGGCTTCATGGAGGAGGTAGTGTGGGACCCAGCATTTTCCCAGCCTCGACTCACCGTGCTGTACTGTGCCTGCAGGTCAATCTCCAGGGCCTGGAACGTGCGCTTCAGCTCGTGGATGTCACCTTGTCTGCTCTGCACGGCAGCTGGACTGGCTGCCTCCTGGGACATGGCTGCAGACTGTAGGACCAAGCAAGGCAAAGACATCAGCATTGGGACCTCATGGAAATGCAACCTTTGGGAAGTTTGTGCATCTTTCTTTTACCTGTTCTTTATACCAAGTGTCCAAGTCTCGATGCTTCTTCTTTATTATAAGCTCATATTCCTGTCTCATATCCTCCAGGACCTTAATCAGATCTTCCTTGGGACCTGTATCCACCTTCACATTGACACTGAAGTCCCTTGGCACATGATGCTTCTCCATTTCCTGTTTAATAACAGAGAAAGGAAATGAACTGGGTTTGATAATCTGAAGGCTGGATTGCCATGTTGATTGGCAGTGGTCAATGGATCTTTTAAACATTCTGATTATGTGGTTGCTCCACTGTGGCTGGTTTGGTTTCTCAAATGTTACTTGTTGATGATAAAACATTGTATACTTTTATCTCTAATAATTTTATAAACTAAAGAATATCTTTGAGACCAACCTGACCAGCATGGTGAAACCCCATCTTTACTAAAAATACAAAAAATTAGCTGGGTGTGGTGGTGCATGCCTGTAATCCCAGCTACTTGGGAGGCTGAGGCAGGAGAATCCCTTGAACTTGGCAGGTGGAGGCTGCAGTGAGCTGAGATTGCGCCACTGCACTCCAGCCTGGGTGACAGCAAAAACCAGCGGTGGTGGCATGCCTGCAATCCCAGCCACTTCGTATAGCCGATAAGCATAAATCCCTGAACCTGCTGCCATTACCGCTGAGTTGAGATTGCGCTGTACTGCACTCTGTGCCTGGGTGACAGAGTGAGGCCTGTTCTAAAATTGGTAAGGTAGGTAATTAACAGCCTCCATGATTACTGACTTGATCCGTGGTTGAAAATATTTCAGAAAGAATTATGCTTCCATAGTGTGTAAAGTCCTGTTTGGCAGATGTGGATTGCTGAAGTGACAACATAGTTAGGCAGCAGAACCTTCCAGGCTATAGGCTAAAGCTTTCGGGAAGCCGTTCAAGAGGCAAACGGCAGAAAGAAGGGGTAGAGGCTTTCAAAATCTCAATGCCTTGTGACCCTGTGGGGCTGACGCCCATAGGATTTCATGAAAACCAAGCAGCCACAGGAAAGATTTAATTAACAATTATTGTCTAACCAGCTATTCAGAAACTGGGCTCTTTGATGTTCAGAAGCAATTTTGTTTTCCTACCATGGGAACTGTTTTTCTATCATTTTATCAGAGTCTCGAGGACTTGTGGTGGATGGTAACTCTAAAAGTCAGTTAAATGCTTCTGGAAATTAGGATTCTTTAGTTTTGTCCCACATCATACTTGTCTTGGTTGGTAGCAGACTCTTTTCATTATATTGTCCCCTAATTTGCTGAACATTGGGCCAATGATGGAAGTCCAGTCTCACACATTGATTCTTATAGTAACATATTAACAAGCACATCTAGGTAAACATTGTGTGTTAACAAAACTGTTGACCAATTCATCATTAATTATGATTGCATTTTGGTTGTTGTATTTGACATGTGAGTAGCTAACCTTGAAATGAGAAACTTTAGATATTTGTATGTTTTTCTAATGACTATTTAGGGCGAAGGACAAGGGGATTGGCATCCAGGTGGTGGTTTCTTCTGTAGCTGTCGAATCAGCCTGAGATGTTCATGCTAAGAGCTGTGTTCATTACCAGGAGTTCCTGGGGAGTCCTACCTGTTCATGGCGCTTCTTCATGAGAATGAGCTCCTTCCTCATTCCCTCCACCTCCTGTTCTAGATCTGTTGTGACAATGGTCAGGTTGTCTAAGGTCCTTCGGAGGCCCTCGACTTCAATTTCCAAGTCTCTCTTAAAGGAGTGTTCATTTTCATACCTTTGATGAGAAGGAAGAGAAGAGTGCACCCGTTTGTTGGAAGGTCATGGTTTTTGAAAGGATTCATTTTCATTTAGAAGTGAATCTTTTACTTGTTAGGTTTAAAGACAGATGATGAATACATATAGGATGTCTTTTGTATGTCAGTTTCATGCTACACTTTTCCATGATGGTGACTCAATGCCAACTTTTAAATTGAGCAGGGAGAACAGGATAATAAACAGTCACATACCCATCACCTATATTTAGCAACCGTGAATGTTTTGCCATATTTACTTTGCCTATTTCATTGCTGAAGTATTTCAAAGCAGATTATAGACGTGATGACATTTTAAGACTAAATACTTCAGGATGCATCTTTTAAGAAAAATATATTTTAAAATAAACAGGCTGGGCACGGTGGCTCATGCCTGTAATCCCAGTACTTTGGGAGGCTGAGGCGGGCAGATCATGAGGCCAAGAGATTGAGACCGTCCTGGCCAACATGGTGAAACGCTGTCTCTACTAAAAATATAAAAATTAGCTGGGCGTGGTGGCGCACACCTGTAGTCCCAGCTACTTGGGAGGCTGAGGCAGGAGAATTGCTTGAACCTGAGAGGCGGAGGTTGCAGTGAGCCAAGATCGCGCCACTACACTCCAGCCTGTCTCAAAAATAAATAAATAAATAAATAAGTAAATAAATAAAATAAACATAACACTACACCTAAACATTAATAACAACCCTTTAATATCATCTAATTCTTGATTCATATTCAAATTTCCCCATACTATAACATGTGCTTTATATCTGGTTTGTTTAAACTAAGGTTCATTCAAGTAACACACAGTGCATTTGCTGTTGCTATGCCTTTTCATATAAGATTTTAGTTCCAGGTAATGGCAAGACAAGTTTTCCTTTTTTTTTTTTTTGAGACAGAGTCTCACTCTGTTGCCAGGCTGGAGTGCAGTGGCGCGATTTCGGCTCACTGCAACGTCCATCTCCTGGGTTCAAGTGATTCTCCTGCCTCAGCCTCCTGAGCAGCTGGGACTACAGGCATGCGCCACCATGCCCAGCTAATTTTTGTATTTTTAGTAGAGATGGGGTTTCACCATGTTGGCCAGGATGGTCTCGATCTCTTAACCTCGTGATCCGTCTGCCTTGGCCTCCCAAAGTGCTGGGATTACAGGTGTGAGCCACCGCGCCCGGCCGAATTTTTCTTTTGTAAAGCAAACAAACAAAAACCCAAACAACACTGTGAAGAAGGAACTTACTTGAGGTTGAAGTCATCCACTGCCATCCTGGCATTGTCAATGAGAAGGATAATCTGAGCATTGGTCATCTTACCATCCACTATCTGTAAAACATGCACAAAAGGTTATCTTGCTTGGACACACCCACACATGACCACTGCATGTCTGTCCTTTAGCTTCCTGAATATTTGACTTGTTAGTACAGACCACTTCTTGTTCTGGCAGTGGAACAATGAATGACCGAGTCAGTAAATGCTTAGTGAGCACATACTAGGTGCAAAGCAGAATGATTTTAAAGTAAGAATATGATCTGCAGTCAGTGTTACTGCCTTTCTTCTTTTTACATGGAGTTTTGACAGGCTTGGACTGATGCAACTGCTGAAACAATGATATAGGAAGGGGAAGGACAGTAATTATTCAAAATGCCTTCTAACTTTTTAGGTTATGGACATGTCATAGCATTTTGCTTAATTAAGCTCATCCACAGCTGAAGATGTTTAAAGGACTTTAGGTTCTGATCCTTTTCTTATTGTGTTTGGTTGGTGAAAAAGTGATTTTTGCCATTACTTTTAATTAGTTCAGCCCTCCAAAAGTACAAAAATTATTATTTTAGATGAACATAATTCTTACTTGTGATAGCATTCATGTTTCTAATCAGTGTTACTGAGCAAAGCTAACACTAATATTCAATGTATTTTGTAATAGTCATCACAGAACACAATTTTTTTTTTTTTTGCCCGAAGTTACTATAGCCATACACATAACTTGTAGATGTGTTTATGTCATTGCAACTTACTCTGGGACGAGAATGCTCTCATTGTAGCTATTAAAATATTAACTGAAATAATTCCTTACCATCTAAGGAACATGCCTAATAAGTTTTAGTAGTGGTAAGGCCTCCAGTTAAAGACTTTCACTAGATGTTCGTATAATTTTTTTTAACTTTAAAAATAAAAATATTATTGAAAGCACTGACTCGAGCAATCGTGTATACATTTATGATTTATAAACACTTGTAGATACGTTATAGTCAGAGAAATGGCTCACATTCAATGTATGTCACTGTCTTTAGGGTAGAAGACGTCTCGTTGTCAAAAGTGTAATAATGCTTTTACACCAAGTGTTGTGCTGGACTAGAAACCTGGAGGTTTTTTTTTGGTTCTGGCTCTGTTCTTGATAATCCAAGTGGATGCATCAGGCTGCATCACTCTATTCTCCAGGCCTCAGTTTCATCCGTTGTCAAATAAAGAGTCTGCACTAGAGACAGAGGACCTTAGAGGTCTTAGGTCTAAATTTCTGTAATTTCGTTGGAGTCAGAGAATCCTGGGTAACTCCCATTATATTTATATAGCTCATTCCTTTATTTAGAAAGCATTTTCTTAGGACAAAGTTACACTTCAATACAAAGGCACCTTTTAAAAATCTTGTCCTGTTTAAAGCTCCACTGATCCCATGGAATTTGGTATCATGAATGCACAATAGCAGGATTTAGAGATGGCACAAATGCTGGGTCTGGAACGCAAGGAGCAGGGCCTGGGATCCTGCTCCACACTTACTGGCTGGGTGAACTTGGCTGAGTCTCAGTTTCTTCATCCATAAAATAGCAATAGTAATAGTTACTTCATCAAAGAGTTATGAGAATTAGAAGAGAGTATGTCAAATAATGTCAAATAGCATATTCTTGGCATATTATAGACAGTGAAAAATTGGTCGAAACTGAATTAGTCCAGAAAAAAGTAAAAAAATACACTTTTCTTTTTAAAAATCTAGCACTTTTGTAGAGTCACTGACTACACTGCGAGCATCTCCAGGTTCTATATGCTGAGATGCCTGCTCAGACTTTTTCTGTTCATGGTGGGACATAGCCAGCTGGCTGCTTCTGCCTCATTCTTTTTCCCCTTGTGGGATTCCAAGTGGTACTATGGCCTCTTCCCTTGCTATAAAAAAGGATACTTTTAGTTATTTACTGTTCTCCTCTCCACAGTGCTGCTTAGGGGCATTCTTACCAATACTTCTCCCTCCAGACCAATTATTCTTTGCATTACGTAAGCTCATGCAAAATGAAAAGTAGCTCTATCCCAAAGAGCCTGGGCACCATTGTGGGGTAACCCTTACTTGTGCACTGAGGTTTTCTACTTCTATTTGACACATACTATGAGGTGTTAACCTACATCCAGAGAATCAGAAAATCAAAAATACTGTCTATGGGCTTATTTAGCTTTTCTGAGTTAAATTGGTAATTTATCCGTTGCAAAGTCCACCTCAAGTGTCTGATTTCCCCAGCTATCATTCTCATAGCACTCAAATGTGAATTCTGAAATATACTTGATATAGAGCACATTCCAGATTCTCCTGAAGGCCCTGAGTTAATTCTTTTTTTTTTTTTTGAGACGGAGTCTCGCTCTGTCGCCCAGGCTGGAGTGCAGTGGCGCAATCTCGGCTCACTGCAAGCTCCGCCTCCCGGGTTCACGCCATTC